AGTACCTTCGAAAAAACATTTACAATTAACAAGTTCAGTTATATATGCATCTAGAAAATGGAGAACAACTAATCTCCTAAAGAAGAATATAAAAGTTATTAACCTTCTCCTCGTCAAAAAATGCTTCCAAATACAAAAAATCTCAGTAAAATATTAAACTTCGGAAGAATGTGAAAGAACATTTCAAAAAAATATTTATTACCACTTAATTTCATTTGTAGAAAGTATTAAAATCAGAAGTAGTTGTCCATTTCATATTTGATTTGAATTCAAAGACTGTACCGAAATCAAAAGTGGTTGCTCCGTATATATAGTGCGTTNATTTAACTTACCCTGGAAATTTCTTGAAATAGAAATAAGTTTTGAATGCTTTTTTGGGGGATTCATTTTTTGAATTAATATTTTCTGGATGCATTTTTGGGAGTCTATCTGGTGAACATTGTAATTCTGAACCTTAGTTTGCAATGTAAAGCCTCTGTCTGATCGTAGTTCAGAATTGTAATGTTCGCCTGGTAGATGCTACAACCAAGTACATGTAAAAAGCTTGGTAGTGTACTTTGCGAGCAAATTTATGTCAATTTGGTGCAAAAATACTGCTTTTGGTGCAAAAATACTCGCATTTTATATGTATTTCGCTAAGGCCAAATTCCTGGCGTAATACGGAAATAGATGTTCGATATTTGGAAGCAGACGCTTTGCGTTGTCAAATCAATGGCAAACTTGGCGCAATCTTGTAGCGAAACGTTTTATGTGAATGGTCGATAGCACTCGTATCACAGATGTGGCAGTGCTATAGGGTTTGGCCTGAATTTGGCATGGACAAAACGTTGGTGTCAAATCCGTGCGGAAACGGATGGCTCGGTATTTGACATAACAGTTTAGATTCAGATTCATAACCGTCAGATTCATGTCAAATTCAGGACAAATTGTTTACTGGGTATAAACATGTAGCTATTGTAATGTTTCTTGGGCAGCTTATATGTGTAAAATTTACACCAATGGATGGTTTATAGACGTCGTTTGCTTATTTGTAGAAAGATACATGTGGGGTATAATGACAGAATTTACGATGCCTCGCTAGGTATCAGAGAAATGCAGTTCTGAATGACGTCTAACCAACTACTGACCAACTTCGTTCAGTTCTTTTCTAAACACCGTCCTAAACTAAGAGAAGAATGGGATTATATTTATTCAGAATATCTAAAAAAAATTATTAACCCCTGATATTAAACAAGATAGATTTGCGATAAAATATTAACCCTTAGCACTCTGAACCATTCTGGGTGTTGGCTATCAGCTACTCAGCGCCACTTTTTGGCAGAAACGGGCATTTACATACCCTCGTATTATTTAGTATGGTTTTGGAACTAACTAACATTATAATGATATTGGACTTATATGAATTGGCTGAAATTGAGAAATTTGCAAAAAAATCAATATTTTATTTTTTATAATTTTGTTATTGTTTGTTTTATAATTTTGTTTTGTTGTTGTAATCGCTATCTATGCGAACTCTTTCTCTCGTCGCCTTGTTGCTTGGACGATATCACTATCACTGTTATCAAAACGATAGACTAACTGTAGAAGAAAACCTTCTACAGTTAGTCTTTCTAACATAACTGGAACTCATCTTCACTACTACTTATGTCATGAGACTCATTCGTATTTGAACGTTTTGCCATTGTTCTAATAAAAAATATGAATAAATACATAGGTTGAAAATTTCTAATTGTTATTACTAACTCACAAGAT